CTGCCTCTCTCAGCAGAACCCCAAGCCCAGCTCAGAGGAGATCTCCTTGATAGCAGAGCAGCTCTCCATGGAAAAGGAAGTGGTTCGGGTCTGGTTCTGCAACCGGCGCCAGAAGGAAAAGCGGATCAGCTGCCCGATGCCATCCCCCATCAAATCACCCATCTACAACTCCAGACTGGTGAGGGACTTCAGGTTCAACCTCCTGAGTGGAATCTGATCCAGAACATTTATTATTATTCCATCCACTGAAAACAATCAGCTCAATGATAACAATTAATTAAGCGAGAATTCTATTTATTGAAAACAGTGGGAAGAAAAGTCAAGTTTCCTGGGAGGAATTGATTAGTTTAATCGTAGGATAATTTAGTCAAATCATGATGCTGTCCTAAAGCTTTTCCCCTCGAGATTGATGAAGAAAATCTTTCAGAAATTAATGGGGGATGAGGATTACATAAATTTATATCAATTAACTGCATTTCTGCTGCTTCATTTAAGAGTTGCTTGGTGCCTTTGCCATTTAAAAGTGGCAGGAACCTCCTCAGTGCTGCAGCTCCCACAGGAGTGGGAGGCAGAACCTGAATTTTATCTTAAAATCTCCTGACTTTTGGAATCCTCCATCAGAAGGCAGGAAAACATCATGGGAAGTTTGGTTCCCAAAAAAAAAAACCCATTTGGATTCCCACAGCAGGAGCTTGGGTGAATGATTCCTCTGTGACTGTGCTGTCCTCAGGAATAAATCCTGATTTAGATGGCAGCTCCAGGTTGCCAATTGGCACCTGAGAATTGAGCTCCCTGAAGGAAATTGGGATTTTTTTTTTGTGCCCAAAAGCAGAGGGAGCTGGGAAGTTTCAGGCTGAGACATCCAAAGGGCACTGGCTCCTACAAGTTTTACCTGGAGACTTCCAGAAAATGTGATGGTTTCAGGCTTTTCCACAGCTGATCCATACATTTAGATGGATGTGGAGAGTGTCAGGCACATGCAACACTAATTCTGATTTCTTCCCATGGCCTTCAATATACACACACACACACACACACGCGTGCGTGCATATATATGATAATATATGTAATGATATAGAGATATAATAGATATAAAAATATAACAATGCATACATAAAAAATACATAACGATATGTAATATTTATATATAATATAATACATATACAAAACAATATCTATATATAATGATATAGAGATATGTCTATATTAAAATAATTATTATATCTAATAATATATTAGATATGATCATATATTATTGTGTATAATATACTATTATAATATATAGACAATAATATACTATACTATAATATACTATAATATAATATACTATAATATAATATATAATATTATATATACTATAATATACTATAATATACTATAA